AGAAATCAATGCCGCAGTAGTCAACTCAACGGTAATTCATCTAACGCCACGCAAAAACGGTGTGAAAAATCGCGCTCACGAGACGCGAATCGAGCTGCGATGAGCCCAGCATAGCCACGTAGCGCTACGCAAAAACACCCTTTCAAGAGATCGTTCCATAAAAATAAGAATCGATTGCGAAGGCTTCTTTCCCGAAGGGCCTTTAAACGGCAGAGAAGAGGCTGATCAGGCGAAACCCGACGCCCCGAGTGTCTATCTACGCTGTGTTACGAATTTCTCACGCCATTGCAATCTTAATCAGAGTTCGCGGTGAATACCCCCGTCAAGCTCAGCCGGCATGCCGCAGGGGGGAGCCGTGCACGAATCTCACTGATTGGCGCGTGTAAGGCTGCGTACGTTCCCACCCAGCAACTTCTAATGACGGGCAATCTTTTCTGTAAAGTGACCGGCATATTACAGTAACATATGACGTTATAGCTTGCCTAAGTTACTGCGGCTAAGTGCCGCTAAACGCAGGTCTGTCTCGAACGCGCGTCGGGTCGGGACTGCAGAGGACGCGGGACTTCTACCTCCAACTTGAACTAAGGCCACCCTGGACCCGTATGGAATTACATTACAAATATGATATCTGCGATCTCCTGCGTCAACAGTGCATAAAGTTGTCTGCAATTTGTCCACGCATGAGCTACAGATAACTTACTTCAAGTTTGTCGTAAGTGGTGTCGGGAGATCATCATTCCGTATGTTTAGAATAAACTGATCAATCAGTACAGTCTCCAAAACCCCGTAAACTGTGCATAGTCGCAGCAAATCCTGAGGGGTTTTTAGGCCCTATCGAAAATAGGTTTGTAAAACGCCCCGGCAAATTCCTGAAAGGTTCTTCCATCTAGAAATTTCTTTGGCTGATTTTTAAAACTTAACTTCATATGTCTCTGTAGTAGATTGTATGCTGCGAGTATAGCCGCTGCCCTAGTTCAGAAGTTCTGTCTGACGTCATCTGCTAACCGAAATAGGCATTTCTGACTCGCCGCCGACATAGTAATGGCTCTAGAATATCCGTCCACCGATCTCTAGGCTTGCTCTGCGCAATACATAGTCTTTCAAATGTCTGCAAGTAACAGTCAATGTCATCCTCCTGTGTCAGTTTATGCATGCCCACTAACTTATACACTGACGACCCCGACTCTCTATGCCTAGCGTCCGCACCTCGATCTGCAAGTAACTCTGTCAGAAGTTGATGTTGTTGTTGCTGCATGAACCCCATCATGGCCTGCATTTCTGGTGAAAGAGCAACTGCCCCCCCAGCCTGCTCCTCATCCGAGGATTCCTTCACCCCCCTCTTAGTAGGCATTATAGCTCGTATAAATCAGTACTCACATAAACGGCTGATGCAACCCGACTTGCTCTCCGCAAAATCACGTCACAACCAAAGTTGGCTTACCATTCACCGTTATGTTAAGTACTGTTTTATCTCGTTCAAATAAACAACAAAAAAAACGAAATGTAACCACTTCTTGTTATATATCAACAAAATTCTATAGCGGGAGAAGACCCCAAAATGCGCAACCATGAAAGGCAAATCAATACCCTGAAATGCAATGTCTGTAACACGGCCTAACGCGAAAATAAATGCTCAAAAATACGCCAAAATCACGAAAATACACGACTCATAATACTACTGTAACCTGCTTCACTGCGCCACCTACTGAACAACTATCGTACTATCGCTCTATCTATCGTTAGTAACAGTTGAAAGCTAATTCGCCACCCCATGCGACTGACTGCAAAAACAACAACGCTCAAACACGACGGAGGTGTTGAGTAAAGGGAATACTCGAGTCTGAGCGACAAACACGCGGGCTTGACCCTCAGGCTGACAGACCTACTGTAGCTTTACAGCAGGTCTGCCCTAACGACATGCGCGATGCAAGTCGAAAGAATATGCAGTCTACTATTGTACGCTACGTGCGCCATACACAATAGTTTATCCCTAGCTATCAACGAACACGATACGATATGCATACTGGAACAGGTACTTAGCTTGCTGTACAGCTGTGTCCAGGGCCTCCACTCTACGTACTCGACGAACCAGTTCACAACACTACATATCCTGTCGACTGCGCCAGATGTAAGGTTTTGATCCTTACGTCGGTCGTGTCCTGGTCGTCTGGTAGAATGAAGGGCACCCTTCAGTTGCTCCAGGCGGTCCTTATATATCACGCAGCCGTGGCCTTGCCTGGCTTCGCCGTGGATTCTGGGTCGAAGCCTGTAGTCGAATCCAGTAGAATGGCTTTCGACTCGTATAGTTGCGGTAAGACACCTTCACAGGCTCTGAAAATGTTGGTGACAACTGTATCCAATATGATTTAGCTCGGTTGCAGCTGAATTATCATGTCTCACACGTAAATGCAACTTGTAAACCGTGTAAACCGTTTGTTTACGCGATGGCCGAACTGCCACGTTCCTGACACTGTGGTAATAGACTGGTACGATGTCGCTACACTATACATATATAACATGTATAGACGTACGAGAGGCGTCGAGAGTTACGTCTACGGTTCGCCATCGTACTCATAAATAATTATTTTTATTTTTATCGCGGTGAAATTATGCCAATTTTTCGTCAATTATAAGCTTTGTTATACTTTAACTGCATATTTACATATTTTTACAACATTTTTATTCTATTTTATAACGTTAATTTCACCCAGCGACGCAAGCGCCCAGATGATTTGCATAAGGCCCGGGTATGCGTGCAAGTGCACGTACACGTGCGTGCGTGCGTGCGTGTGCACGTATACGTGCGTGTGTGTGTGCGTGCGTGCGTGCGTGTGCACGCAGTGGCGTAGCTAGGATTTTTTCAGCGGGGGGGGGGGGGCACTGGGGGGCCTTACATTCGTGGGAGGGGGGGCACAATATATTACTTTTCTTTGTATTGTACTGTTCTAACGGAATTGTTTTTAATTCAATTTTTTTTTCATCAAGCATGAATTTTCAGTGGGGGGCACCTGGGGGGGGCACAGAAAATTTGTGGGGGTGGGCACGTGCCCCCCCAGGCCCTCTCGTAGCTACGCCCCTGCATGTGTGCACGTACACGTGCGTGCGTTCGTGCGTGCGTGTGCACGTACACGTGCGTGTGTGCGTGCGTGTGCACGTACACATGCGTGCGCGCGTGCGTGTACACGTGCGTACGTGTGTGTGAACGTACACGTTTGTTCGTGCGTGCGTGCGTGCTTGCGTGCGTGCGTGACATGTACACGTGCGTGCGTGTGCACGTACACGTGCGGGCGTGCGTGCGTGTGCACGTAAGAGTGCTTGCGTGCGTGCGTGTGCACGTACAGGTGCGTGCGTACGTGCGTGTGCACGTACACGTGCGTGCGTGCGTACGTGTGTGCACGTACACATGCGTGCGTGTACACGTACACAGAATACATGTACATATATGCGTACTGAATCGAGAGCGCACGCCGCACTCGAGATTTCATCGATTTATGTCACAAATGACCCAGTGACCTGTGACGTCACACAACCCCTTGGCTAACTACGAACTGGCTTATTGGTCGGTTACATAGAGGCGGCGTGGACATTTACACATGCAGACACCCTGCACACGTTGTTCAAACTTCCACACGTGGAAGAAAATATCAAACATGTGTGATATTTTCCACACGACCCAGATCGAGGGATTTTGCATCCGCACACGCTGTGCAACTTTCCACGCTGCGGAAAGTGAACGTGTTCAATCTCAAGAGGATTCGCAGAGTCCCCAAACTCCACGACAGATGGCGCTCTCGCTCTGGCTCAATTCACGAGCTCTGGTTCAATCTAGATCGTATCTTGAGTTGTACGAAGGGGGCACTGCATGCAGTTTGAGTAGTACCTGCACCAGCTGTTTCTTCTCTAAAGTCATTGTTGTCGTAAAGTAAACCAATAATTGTTGTTGGTTGACACTTTACAAATCCTTCTTATATGAGGATAGACTGTCACTCAAGACAATTTGTCTCGCTGCCAATGCTGTGTCACGTTCTAATACTTTGGTGTGAGATGTCTAAGGAAGGCTTTCAGTTTCCCGTTACCAGGTTCTGAGTTTAGAAGGTGCCGTAGTGGCACCCGTTTTGAGGGTAGCGCCAGGTTGCGTCGATAGATAACAGAAACACAGTATTATTAAAACTACTGCTCGTGCGTCTATTTCACTCTAATCAAACACAATCATACGATACTATACAGATGTCTCCGCGTCGTAACTCGCGCCGCGTGGCGCGTAATCGAATACAAGTAATGTCGTACCTTAGAGTTGCGGTTCGCGAAGGCGCTCGGCGGGGTGAAGGTAGGTCGGTGGAAGGTAGAGAGGGGAAGTGGCGCTGGAATAGGGTGTGGGAGCTAGGCGAAAACTGGACTTGCTACGAAAAGGGTGAGAGCCGAGATCATACCTGGGGAATAACCATGGCAGATCGGCCCTCGAGTCATTAGTGTACTCGGACGCTACGGGAGTGGTGTATAGTGATTACCTGCGGCGTTCTATTATTATTCATCACTTAGAGCGAAGAGGTGTGTTGTTTCTAGTGATTGCATTTGGGGAATAGTGTGAGGCGATATATTTCCTCTGTGCGGGAGCCTGCGCTATCCTACAGATACAGAAATGACCCATGTGAAAAATGGTGGGATGATGGGCAGGGCTGTATCATGATGATATGGGCGAGAAGAGATGGTGAGATGCTAGACAGGGCTGTATCATGATGATATGGACATGTCATTAGGGTTAGGGCTGGTGGCCAGAGCTGCCTACCTTATGTCATAGCAAAGTCTGCGAGCGTGAGCTATCAGAAAAGTTGGTCACCACTATACCTTGAGGCCAGCGCTGCCTGCCATATTTCATAGCAAATTCTGTGTGCGTGAGCGAGCTATCAACGAGGTTAGTATATGTGCTGCTACGATTTCAAGAGACTGCTGCCAACATCGAGGCTGCAATTCCTACTATCAGGCACGTGTACCACCATTTCTGATGGGATCGACCTTTGTCCGTGAGTGCCCAGCTCGCTATCAGAAAAGTTGATATACGCGTACGCTTCACTGATCATGTCAGCTATGAATGCAGCTGCATGGTATACCAGCATGGAGGCTGCTACTACACACTGAAAAGCACGCGGAACAACTTTCTTGATGTGACACCGGGACTATTCACGCCACTGCGCAGGCTCTGCGCGTAGGCAGCGTAGGCAGCGTAGGCAGCGTAGGGTAGCTGTACGTAGCTGATGCAAAACAGAGGCAAACAGTAGCTCATTGCGTGGAGATGCAATTTCAGCTGTACAGTTGTGGTGTATGAGCGATATGTTACTAACGGATACATTGGACGAGCATCACAATCTCTGATGTCATACCGGCGTGGAATTCACTCGGTTCCATTGTCCTGCTTACTCGGAGGACTATCTGTCGTGTTCCTTCTGGGGAACATCTACCTCCTGAAGTCGGTGTTGGATAGCAGGCACACCCAATACGACAGTGTTTTGAATGAACGCGATCAGCGGACGAACATAATGAAACAGTCACTAGACGTTCGACTGAGTCAGCGGGCGGACATTTTTTATTTGGCTGGAAGCGAATGGCGTCTACGCGATCACGTCAGCTATTTTGCTGACCACGAAGCGAAGCTTAGGCGGCTAATGGACGACACGAACGACTCTCATACTAGCCGCGTTTACGTGCCTTTCCGCCATTTAAGAAACATTTCACTTGCCAGTATTATAGATCTGCCACACGCTCTTCGCTCGAATCTAAAGTTAGATTTGAAATGCGATGATATCGGAGACATCACTGACATGTCGTTTATTGCTGCTGGCTGGACGAAAGCTGTCTATCGCGGCAATCATAACGGTAGAGCAGTGGCGGTCAAGATCGTGGACTTCGGCGGTCATGATATAGTGACATGTCAGCAGGAGATGCACGAATCACTAGAAGAGTGTTACGGAAAATCAGCTGCTAAGATTATTAAGGAGATTGCTCTACTACGCAGCCTGATTCACACAAATATTCTAAAGGTACTTATTTTAATTATCGTGTAGACCCACGCACATGCAATGTTCGATGAATAACAATTAATGTGGCATTGTCATGAATGTAATACTGTTAGTAGGTGTCGCCGACGTGCGACCTGCTTTGATGCAGTTTTTCGCCGATGATCCTCATTAAATGACATTATATATATATAGGAAATATATTTAGTGGTCGAGTACGATTAAGTCTCATTCGATTCAATGATTAATGTGTTTTTAATTAGACAACCCACTCGCTCTGTCGCAAGACAGTGCACGCCCCTCCCATCGGTACTCGTTACCATGCCTTGAGTAAAACCATAAACCTGCCTAACAAGCTTTACAGTTGGCTGACAGAACCGCCTCGCTCATTACGGCAGTATTGTCAGCTAGTTGTTAAACACCCACGCCGCCGGGGCTGAGTCCAAAATCGGAACCACATGTACAAACAGTAGCACTTGCTGCACCCGTGTCTGTTTGCTCGGTGAGTTGTATGTAAGACATGTGTATTGACCCTCTCCAACGATTGCGTCGGGTGAACACTCATTGTACATTTTACATTTTAAATTAGACGTTGGCACCGCCACACTCTGCACAGGGACTGGGAGGGGAGGGTTGCGTATCACCTGGGCAGTTTGCATCCGAAGCATAAAACCTATATGAGTTTATGCGTAGGCTAATTGGATCGTAGTACGGAAATATATGTTAAAATTGTTTTAGTCTGGGCGGACCTTCACATTTATCAGTTTGTAAAAACTTACGACCAGTGCACTACATGTTCCTCATACTCCCACAATCTCTGTTCCCCCACAATCGCAAATACTCTCATATATTATACGTATCCGTTATGTCCTGTTATACGCACTATATTTTGTTCATTTTTGCGCAGCTAAATTTCGATGTGGTAATGCCGACATGTTATGCCTTTCTCCTTCATGTCTTTCGCATACGAAGCGGGTGCATGTGGGAAAGGCATTGCTGCTAAATGCACGTACATGCAGGCGGGCTGTTATGTAGCTTGCATGTACGCGTGCTGACAGTTCCAGATGATTTACGGCGTGATAAACCTGTCAGACTCCCGTCTGCGCGTTCACAGGCGCTACTGTACGCCTCGTAAAGTGCAGCATAACTACGCGGAGCTATAACTACACCAGATCACTTAGTACCAATTTACAGACGGTCGTAAACCAAGGTGTTTAGTGGCAGTGATTTCATCATGATTTTAATAATATCTGCGTAATATAAACTCAGCTTTGTATCGTAGTCTGGACTGCCACTAGCACTAGCTGTACCTGCTATATAACCTTAGTAGTTTGCTGGGCAATAAAAATCATTCTGAACAAGATGGAGACCACCGATTTCTAGAATGTGCTTCCCCCTCCTCCGTATGGAAATGTTTGAGCCAATATGTATATATTATGTATACACTGGCACCCATTATCGTCTTGTCCAATATGGCCAATGCTTGCATGGTCAGTTATAGTTACATGCGTGCGTTGCTGAGCTCAATACTGATGTGATGTCTGTAGTAAGCACACAATTAGCTAAACTTAGTAGCTAAAGGCGCACACCACCAGGTAAGGTAGCCTGCTTGGTAATAGCCTATTCTCCCTTCAACTTGTTTACAATTTCATTCCGAGAATGAAAACTGCATCTGTCCTATATTCTACCCCGCCCCTCCAGTGTTATTTCGGTTTATTCCCGTTTCGCCATTTTCCCACTTCGCCAGTTTCCCATTTTGCTAATATTTTATGTTGCTTTCACCCCCTGCACGAAATTGATCCTTCCATTCGTAAAAGAGAGTTGTTTCTAGGGTTAGGGTTAGGGTTAGGGTTAGGGTTAGGGTTAGGGTTAGGGTTAGGGT